ATTGCCATGCAGGCCCTGGAGTCTCACTGCCCAGATTCAAATCAAGGCTTCTCTGCTCACTAGCTCTGTGATTCTGGACAAGTTTCCTAACCTCTTTGGGGCTCCATGCCCTCCTCTGATAAGTGGGGTAATAGTACAGTGGTACCTATTTCATAGGGTAGCTGTAAGAGTAAATGCATTGTTGTATGTACTTAGCCTGGAGCTCAGTGCAAGGCACACGGTATGAGCTTCCGTGGTAGTGGTGGTGATGACAGTGATGCCGAGGACGTGATCGTGATGATGGTGATTAGGAGCACACTGAGCCCTACCTTTAACAAGCTACGTTTTTGTGACCTTGAGCAAGCAGCTCAATCACTCACCCTCATTTTGTTTCTGATTTCGTCACTGGTTTGTAGCAATGGGAATAATACTGTCCACAGGGGTGGGGAACCTTTTTTCTGCCAAGGGCCATTTGGATATTTATAACATCATTTGCGGGCCATACAAAATTATCGACTTAAAAATTAGCCCGCTGTATTTGGTCAGGCTAATTTGTTGAGGTGTGTGATGTATGTTAGCTACTATTGATTTTGAAGGCCTTATATGGCCTGCGGGCTGGACATTTCCCACCCCTCAAAGCAAGAGTCAGCTAACTCCAGCCTCTGGGCCAAATCTAGCCTGCTGCCTGTTTTTGTGAATGAAGTTTTATTGGAACGCAACCATACCCATTTGTTTACATAGTGTCTATGGCTGCTTTCACACTGCAGTGGCAGAGTTGAGTAGTTGTACCTGAGATCTTATGTTCTATAAACTAAAAAATACCTGGCTCTTTACAGAAAAAGGTAATTGACCCCTGATCTCAAGGAGTGGTTGTTGAGGATGTGAGAAATGAAGCGTGTGTATAGACCTGGCGCACATTAGGTGTCCAGTACAGTGGAGCCGCAGCAACCAAGCATTTAACTTTCATGAACTCCGTGCCCTCGCTCTTGTCCCCTCCCCTACCACTCTCCTCCAACCCCAAGAAGAAAAATAGAGTAATTACAATATGAATAGTTTAATTAGAAATACCATCAAATGATATTTTGCATATGTATGTTTATCATGTAGCATCCATTTCCATATACATCATATATTATACATGCATATCAGTCTGCAGCAGTGGGTATGCAAGGCTGTGTCCTGGAGACTGTGCTTTGCAGGAGGTTTAAGGCTCCTTTTCAGGGGTGATTTTGGTGCTGATTTTCCCTTGCCTGTTGACTTCAGAAGCTAACATCCAAGGAAGATACAACTCCCCTCTGAATGGTAGCAATGAATATTATTATCTGCATCTAGAGCAAAGTAAAACTCAGTGTCAGTTTCTTACCATTGAAAATAAGTGCAGAGAAAAATCTCTCTGAAATCTAAGTGGGAGAATGATATTATAGTTTAAAAAACTCAGTGCATTCCCTTCTTTTTATTGTTTCCCCAGGCACACATCTGTTTTAAAAAGTGAGGTAGACAGATATCATTTACATTTGGCCTTATTTATTGTTTCATGGCCGAATCTGGCAGGTCACCTTGCAGAATTCAGAGGAACATCCCCTTAATTTTGGAAGCAGCATATATGTTAATGTTCTCCTTCCACCTCCCTCCCTGAATTGTGAGAATAAAATGAGATCAACGTAGGAAGATTCTCAGAAGAGCTAGGTGCAGTAGACAGGCATGGTGTAATTGGGTTCCTTCCATCCTTGGCAAGAAGGAGCTGTCTCCACATTAAGTTACCTGGAGGAGAGAAGGGCTCAGTGGTGTGAGGACAGGGGCATTAGATAACAAATGCGTGTAATTAGAGCGAATTATCTTCATTGGAAAATAAGCACATTATTTTCCAATTTAACGAAATAAAGAAGCTTCTAATTAACTCCAGTAGAGAGATTTTCTTTCATATTTCAGTAGTTAAGCTCTATGTTTTTTGTATTAATATTTTGTTTTTATGGCCCAGCTTAATGTTTTTTTTTTTTTCTTTTTCTTTTTCTTTCTGTTCCTTATTGGTATAACAGAATTTTATAGAAGAAAAGCAAACCCAGAGGTGATTCAGCCTACATTTTTTTTTAAAGAAAGGGAAGAAACTATGGTCCAGAGAGATCTTGTTGGATCCTGTGACTTGTCCAGGGGGCCCTAACTGGTTAGCTGTCCACTGGACCAGATCCCCAGGTGTGTGTCTGGCCAGCATAGGAAGGGCCTCAGCTAGACTCTGGGGTCTGCCATGCTCACCCTGGCCTAGCTCTGCTTCCCTCCTGCTACCTATCCTTGTTCTGGGCCCTACTTGGCCGTGTTGGCATCTTACTTGCCTCAGAACTACTTCCATTACTAAAAATGTCTTTGTCTGTCCCCTGGCCTCCAGCCCATTCTATCCTGTTCCAGCTTCAGGTCCATCTCCTAGCTCCTGACTCTTCATTGCATGGCCTATATTACCTTGTGTGCCCCTCCACTGACAGCCAGAGCAGGTGTAGACAAACAAGGATTTGTGGGAACACCCTGGCCCCTGCCCCAGCGTCTCAGGGTCAGGAGGTCAGAATAACATTGGCCTAACAACTCAGATCACCTTGTTACTGGAAAGGGGACCTAGCCCTTGCGGGTGTGCTCAGGGCCAGCCGGTTGTGTGTGGGTTCTTGACTTCACGCAGGAAAAATTTCACAGCACAAGTCTAGGTGAATTTAGAGATCATCTATTAAAACTGGGGACAGAGAAACAAGGAAGGGCCTAGGATAGAAGAAGCAACAGGAGTGGTACTAGGTGGGGAAATGAGCCGAGGCTGGGCTGCTTTGGCTCACTAAGAAGTCAGAGAAAAGGGGCCTTGGGGACAAGTTCAGGGGGTTTGTCCAGGACCAACGGCTGCTGCTGGTTGCTGCCCTGGTTGCAAGCCCCATGGGGCCCCTAAGAGTTTAAGAGATGTATGCCTGTAGGGAAAGAAGGGAGGGGGGAGGAGGCGCGGTGTGCTCCTGGGCAGGGAGAGTGCGCGCTGGACCTTCGTTTTGAAGAGTTTTAAAAGCTGGGCGTTTATGGGAGGTCTTAGGGGAGGATCTCAATTCAAATATTCATCGGTTTTATGCTGATGTACCAAAATGAAATTTGTTCTCTTAACTTCATCTGTCCTTGGGTATGGTTGGCAAATGGCACTAATTGGATTTCTGCTGTCTATCTCCCTGAGCAGAGTGATTTAAGCTGTTTACCCTCTGGTTGCGAAGGAAAAGTGCAAACCATTTATTCTTAAGTGTCCTTGGTTTTAAAAAAGGTGAGATGTACTAGATGGCTACAGATTGCTTGGCATCTAGATTTTCTGTATAGCTGTAAACTGCTGTTCAGCTGTGTGTCTCAGTTTCTCTGTTCTTCTTGTTCTGGCTTTCTAGCCTGTCTCATCCTGATCGCTATACCCTGGGTTCTTTAAAAATAAAAATTGATAAACTTTATTTTTCAGAGCAGTTTTAGGTTCATAGCGAAATTGAGTAGAAAGTACAGAGAGTTCTCATACCGCTTGTCCTCACGCATGTACAACCTCCCAACTGTTGACATCCTGCACCTCAGTGGTACATTTTCCGGGCCTCTTTCTCATCTCTAAATCCTGGGTTCTTTGTCTTAAGGCAAAAAAAGAAAGAATACAAAAAGGAAAGAAAGCACACACAGAGTAAGCTAAGTGGGTGTCTGTGGAACACAAAGGCAGTCAGTTTCAGATAAATCCATTCTGTCTTGTCATTCTCTGCTGTCCCCAGGGCACATGGCTGGCTGGTCACAGCATCAAAGCTCACACAGAGATAATCCTGCTCTGGCCTTTTTAACCTCTCTGTCTCTCAGAACCACTTTCAAATTCCTGAGGCTGGGATTCTGATGGGATGCAGCTGGGTCAGGGGCCCACCCTGGGGATAGGGAGGAGAGGAAGAGAGAAGGGTGCAGTTTAGGGTGTCATTATGGCTGAACAGATAACCCAAAAGGTGTCTGATACTGTCTAATCCATGTCTCCTTTGAATTCTCCAGGTGTCCTTTCTAAATCTTTTTATATATTGGTCCCAAAGTTTGACCAGAGGTTCATCTTTGGGCTTTTGCTCTTCCCTTATTTTCACCTTTTTAGGAAGAGGAATGTCCCTCCACTTGTTGCTTTATCGCCAGCTGTGGGCCCCACCCTTATCATGCCCCAGTCATGTGTAGACCCATTGGAAGTGACCATGTCTTTCCTCTGAGACTCGATCCCCACCTCTTGTCTGTCAATAAGTCATCACTAAGCTCTTTTGCTCTTGACTTCTGAGGGCTCTTGGCTGATGGGACCTGTGGTTGTGGCATTCTCACAAATAGCCACTTGAAAGTGAAGTTGGACAGTTTGGGAGACGCCTTGACAATGTGCAGTGACTGTCATTTTCCATTAATTTTTCATCAAGGAATTCTTTTGTAATGGACACTCCCAGAAAAGTTTTGGACACCGCATTTACAATAGCATATTTAAGCATTCTGATGTTGATCTGTTTAATTTATGCATGCCTTCAAATGTTAGTCTTCTAGTTTTCTGAGAAAAGCAACAATTCTCTCTGAAATTGCCCATTATGTGAAATGCAGGTGATTCCCCCTAATTCACATCGGTACCATCACCTGTGTCCGAGTTTGGGGGTGGGTGCAGCACATTGGGACGCACTCATCAGAGGGTATGTGTATGCACAGTGGGGCACATTTTATATAATCCAAACAATTTAATAAAAATGCAATTCAGCTGGGAAAGCTAGAGTCTGCCGGCCCTTGCAGAGTGCAGATAATGTTCCAGATTAAAGAGCTGAGGCTTTGTTCATTAAAGTCAAATCACGTGAGTGTATGAATTACCATTTCCTTGCTGTTGGTTTATTTCAAGAGTATTCCATTTTCCCATTATAATAATAGGCTACATTTTCTTAAAGTCATTTTTGGTCCCCTCTATCCAGTTTGCAAATAAAAAGCTTTTGTGGTGATAAGCTAGCTGTTTTAAAACAGCTTTAATCTCTGGTTCTGCTTTTGAACTGCTACAGGTCAGACTCTGCGAAAGGTGGAGAGAAGCCGGTCCTGCTCTCGGGAAAAAAAGGAGGTAAATGTTTGGCTGGCAAGGGCTGGGGGGAGGCAGCTGTTTGAAGGGACCTGAGGGAGCAGGCTGGTGATTAAGTATTCCTGGATCTCCTTTCTGACTCCCAAGCTTGATCGACTAAATGACAGTTCACTTGTAGCAATAATCTGTTGCTGAATGTATCCGTTAGCTTTGTCTGTGTAACAGATCACCATGACTTAAAACAACCATGCATTTAGTTGACCATTCTGTGGGTCAGTGATTTGAGCTAGTCTTTTCTGGGCAGGTCTGCTGATGGCCAGGCTCTGCTGACCTCGGCTGGGCTCATGTATGCATTTGTAGTTAATTGCTGTCATCTAGGGGCTGACTGAGTATCAGAATGTTTTAGTTGTTCCCCAATGTTCTCACCCTCCAGCAAGCCAGCCTCATGGAGGTTCAAAGCTTCAAAATTTGGGAGTGGAAGCTGTGGGACCTCTTGAGTCCTAGGCTCAGAACTGGCAGGTGTCGCTTCTGCCACTTTCTGTTCTTTAAAGCAAGTCACAAGGTTAGCCCAGATTCAAGGGGATGGGGAAATAGGTCTTACTTGATGGGAAATCTATAAAATATTGTGGCCATTCTTTTTTTTTTTTTATCCTCACCCGAGGACATTTTTCCATTTTTTGTTCAGGTAGAGTGGGAGGGAGAGAGAGGAACAGAGAGAGAGAGAGGGAAACATCGATGTGAAAGGAACACATCGAGTGGCTGCCACCCGCACAACCAACCAGGGCCGGGGACAAACTGCAACCGAGGTACGTGCCCTTAGCGGGAACCGAACCCGGGTCTCTCAGGACTGCAGGCCGACGCTCTAACCGCTGAACCAAACCGGCCAGGGCTGTGGCCATTCTTGAAAACTCCCACTCCGAGCCCATCTGCTCTGTGCTAGGCACCAGGGCTGGGACTAAGGCGTGGGTGGGATGGTCTTGATCTCAGGGTGTGCGCAGTATATTGGAAGGGATGTGCACCAGATCATTACAACACAGTGTGAGAAAGCGTCAGTATTGTGAGAAAAGGACAAAGAAAGCAGAATCTCAATACAGAAAAGGGGTCACCTAACTCTGTTAGTGATTATCAAGAAAGGCTGTGCAGAGAAGCCGACGTGTAGGCTGCCTTCTAAAGGGTGAGTAGGAGTTTTCCAGGCCAAGGAAATGGCGTGGTCAGAGTCGCAGAGACATGAATAGGAAAGTTGCAGAATTATTGAGCCTGAGATGGGAAGTGGTGCAAGGATTCATGTTATCTCTGAGAGGTCTCAAGCTCATGGGAGTTTAAATTTGAGTCTCAGCAGTGGCAGATAGGTGCAGGGGTATGAAGGTGTATAGCTCATCATAAATATCAACCATTCTTGAAACCTCCCACTTCAGAACTTCAATTCTGAAATTCACGAACATTTGTATACTAACATTATATACTAACTTGTATACTAACCTTGGGGATCACACCTGCAACCCAGGTATGTGCCCCTGACCTGGATTCCAACTTGCGACCCTTCAGTCTGCGGTCCAGCGCTCTAACCACGGAGCCAAACTGTCCAGGGCCACATTCTTGATTGTAAAGTAAGCCCAGACCCACAGGCATCTGGTCTCCCTCTGTGAAGTGACCAAGGGTGGGGACCAGGCCCCTACGCCAGAAATGAAGTGTTTAAACCTAACTAAAGTCTTAGGTTACAGAATAACAGCATCCCATTGATCCACATTAAGTAGTTAGTTGGGAAACCAGGAAGCAGGGAGGCAGGTAACTAGTGGAAATGCTCTTTCCCTCCCCACTCTCTCTCCTTGGCAACAGGAGTATATTGCCACTTTCCGGCTACTCCCATCATGTCAGTTGCTTGAGAGCATTTCAGATCACAGTCATCTTCTGAAAAGTGCTTTAAGTGAGAGAAAACAGAGAATGGGGTTGTTTATAACAAGATCCAACTTTAAACCGGAAAGATATTTAAGATGGTTTCAGGCCCCCTGAAAAAGAGGGTGCTGACTCTCAACAGGGCTTTTGCTTGCTTAGAAAAACAAGAGAAAGAAGTTAATACCAAGCTGCCAAGATGTTCATCCTGATATGTTATAACAGGCCTTTTCCACCCACCTGCTCTTTCTGCATCCCTCCCCCACCCCCAGTCTGTGTAATCTACACTTCCTGGCACTCTGTGTCTTACACAGGATGCCAGGTATCGACCAAGCTATGTCCTCACGAAAGGCAAGAAAAAGACATGCTGGTTAAAACAAGTAGATGAGGCCACACGTCGCGTTCTTTGGGCGGTGAGGTTACATAGGCCAGCTCACACCTTGGCTGGTGCGCATGTGGTTTCCGTCCTGGGTGGGGACTGGGTTTTCTCTGAGTGGTCATGGGCCAACACAGCAAAGGAAGGATGGGCAGCTGCTCTCAGTGAGCTTGCCAGGCCCAGTTCAGCCCCAAAATGTGTTTTATTTGGCCCATACTCTATTACAATTTTTTAGAATTAGGCATCCACATTTAAAAATTGGAGATTTCACATAAAAATGCAGACTTCTGGCTTCTTCAGAAAAATGGAGAATGACAACCTTACTCCTGCAAGGCAACGACGGGCAGTGGCTGTTATTGAGGACGGGCCCCCTCTCAGTGGAGCCCTGCAGCCTGCCCTCCCTGCCCCCAGCGCTGCTCCACAGCAGACAGGTGTCAGCACTGGACTGCGCCAAGCCCATAGCACTTTGTGGCAGAGGTTCACAAAGGTGGCTGCACATCGGACTCACCAGAGCTTTTATATACCCTGATGTCCGGGCCTCTTTCCAAAGCAGTTAGACCAGAGTCTCTGGCAGTGTGACCCAGACATCAGAATTTTCTAGTCCCCCCACGTGACTGCAATGTGCAGCCACTAATGAGAGACAGTGGTTGCAGGCAGTGGCTAACCCTGCTTGAAGCCCAGGCGCATCCCTGCGTGCCACATGCGCGTCCCTGCGTGGCGCGTCCCTGCGTGCCACATTCCACTGGAGGGTCCTGCTCTCAGGCCTTCTGAGCCCTCTCACAGACACAGCAGGTGTAGATCTAAGGGAAGAGTGACAGACACCACAGAAGAACCCAGATAAAGCGCGGGGTGCTGGAGGAGGGAGAGAAGACTTCCTGGAAGAGGCATCTTGAACTGAGGCTTTGGAAGGGTTATATGCTTCAGGTCGGTAGATACTTTCCACGTAGCTGATAAAAATGTTCTCAGCCTCAACTCTAACAAGTATTCATGGTTCCTGCCTGTGGAGATTATATAGTGTTTATGGCCCTTAGTCATGAATTATTAATGATTTTGAAATTGTGGTCAGTGTAGTTTACTCAAAAATCATTAGGAAGTAAATTTATTATATACTGTTTTTTAATAATTTTTCTTTATTGATTTGAGAGAGAGAGGAAGGGAGAGGGAGAGAGATAGCAACATCGATGAGAGAGAACATCGATTGGCCGCCTCCTGCATGCCCCACACTGGAGATTGGGCCCACATTCTGGGCATTGCCCTGACTGGGAATTGAACCAGCAACCTCTTGGTACATGAGTTGACGCTCAACCACTGAGCCACACTAGCTGGGCATCATATAGTGTTTTTAAAAAAAGGAAACCACAGGGGAGAAAGAAATCTTTATTCATTACCCCACTGCCCAGTTTTCACACTGGTGCCCAACGGCACTGTGGGGCTCACAGGTATGGCACTGGGAACATGTCCTCCTACTACACAGATGTGACCGTCAGTTAGCACCCATGATGTGCTTCTGCAGCAAATTCCAGTCATGTGACCTTGGATGAGTCTCTTGACCCCTTCACCTCATTTGATAATGCCCACTTTGGCGACTGGCTTACGGAGTAAAGGCAGCCATGTACCGAAGCTTCTGGCATAGTGCTGACCCGTAGTAAACATTCCATAATGTTAGTTGTTACATAATTTTAATCATTCCTTAGTGTCTAGTATTTAACAGAGTCATGCCCTTGGATAGAGAAGGCAGCACAACTGCACTTCCTACCGAAGGAGCCTCCCTTGCTCCAGCTGGACTGGAGGCTGATCCAGCCTCCCAGGCTCCTGGCTGTGTCCCCCAGGCAAGTGGGCCCCACCGTAAATCTCTCTCAGAGCCTCCTGCCATAATGGACTACCTTCTTTTGTAACTGATTGGAGATGCAGAAAAATGCTCTTGACAGCACTCTCATCTACTGGGCTCGCTTTGTAAAGGACTGCAAAAGTCATTTAACTCAACCACCTAGGAGAGGTTAACCTTTTTCTTTGCATGCATGTGTGTGCACACTACCTGCTACTAAGCAGAGACTCCTTTCATGTCTGCCAAGCAAAGCAGGAGATCGGGATAGCAGAGGAGCACAGCAGAGGAGGGAGTCCAGGATCCAGGGTACCTCCAGGGAAGGGGCGATCTGAACGACCTTTTCTGTGTGCCAGCGTGGGCACATCTTCTCCCCCATCTGCTCTCTGCACCTTGTTGTCGTCTTGATGCACCTCTCTACTAGCTGTTCCTTCTTCCAGTTCAGAGGCCAGAGCGTCTGATCAGTTGGCTAATCAATATTAAAGGGCATTTGGAGGACTCCTGACATCTCTCTCTCGCTCCAGTTTCCTTCCCAATAGGCAACTGCTGTAATCAACTTCATGTGTGTCTTTCCAGAAATATTCTGTGCAGAGTATATCCATCCTTCTCTGCCCCTACCCCCCTTTTAAAACAATGATAGCATGTAGTACACAGTTTAATTTTTATTTTATTTTATTTTTTTTTTATCCTCACCCGAGGACATTTTTCCATTTTTTGTTCAGGTAGAGTGGGAGGGAGAGAGAGGAACAGAGAGAGAGAGAAACATCGATGTGAAAGGGACACATCGAGCGGCCACCACCCGCACAACTGACCAGGGCCGGGGACAAACTGCAACCGAGGTATGTGCCCTTAGCGGGAACCGAACCCGGGTCTCTCCGGACCGCAGGCCAATGCTCTAACCGCTGAACCAAACTGGCCAGGGCCACAGTTTAATTTTTAAATATCTTTGTTTTT